CCCTCTCCTCCCATGGGCTCCTGGTAGATTTGAACTGCAAGCCCGGCAGGTCACAGCGCAGCTCATGGAAACCACTGTGCCGCGGCCCCCCTCCGCTGGAAGGTGGCTTTACTGAGCAAAGGGTGGGCTGAGGGTCACTGTTTGCGTGACAGTGCCCTCCCCTACCCCCCGCCCCCACAGGCTGGACCTGGTGCCCATTAACCGGTCAGTGGGGCTCAAGGCCAAGCCCACCAAGCCAGTCACGGAAGTGCTGCGGCCCGTGGTGGCCAAGTACGGCCTGGACCTGCGAGAGCTCACCGTGCGGCTGGTGAGGGTCCCCTGCACTCCCCAGTGGGCACCCGTGCCCGCTGGATGTGCCATGTGCCTCACCCTGAGCAGTGCCCACCGCTCCTGGCACAGAGCACAGTCATGTGCGCCCAGTGTCCTCTGCAGCCTCACTCCTCCAGCCCCTACCTCACCCCCACCCCCTGGTGGCGGCTTTGTCTCATGGGCCTGGACACCCTAAGCTGCGTCTCTGGCTGATGCTGCCGGGGGCGGGGTCTCTGGTTAGAGTTTGTGGTGGAGGGTGGTCTCCGGGCCATGGTTCGGGTGAAGGGTCTCAAGTTGCTGTTGAAAATGTGGTCCTGGGAAACTCAAAGAGGGAAAGGTGTTCCGTCCGCCACCATAGCATGCAGTGGGCACCCGCGGGCGCTGAGACAGCTGTGGGTGTCTGACCACCGGTGCGTAGTCTCTCTCTTGGCACAGTCGTGGCAGTGGTTTGCACTGGCCAGCGGCTCCAGACCACCGCCACTCTGTGCACACCCATAGGAGTGACCGTCTCTCAGAGACCCCGGGGTGGCCCGCCCGCCCTGCCCTGCGGGTCCATGTGAGTTGGTGTGATGCCGTGAGTTGGTTTTTAATCCCTCACCTACACCTCTCGGACTTGGAGTCCACGCAGGGCCACCCACTCTCAATGGGCGAGCTTAAGGAGCAGAGCCTGTTGGGCGAGTGGAGGTGGGGTGCTCTGGGGGACGCTGTGCTCGGACGGCGGCCTGGCCCCCCTCACAGGAGCGGGCAGCCATGCGGGTGCACTCGGCCGGGCACGTTCACACAGGTGCTTCCACCCTCCCTCGTGATCCTTTTTTGGAACTAATTCAAGTCATTTAGGATTCTGATTTTTCTCTGGAACTGGCCCCCAAACAGTTCACAGGTGACACCCCCTCACCCCCCACTTGGGAACAGAATGCCACCAGCTCCGGTGGCTCCTACGCTTTGGCCGCTGCCGCCGCCACAGTGGGTGTCCATCCGTCTTGTCGAGGGCCCGCCTCTCCGAGTTACCGAGCATGAGTTCCCTCTCCAGGGACTAGCCTGTCCGGAGGGCGCTGGCGGCCAGTGTGCGTGAGGTTGGGGCTCACCGTCTGGCCTCTGGGCCCTGCTCCGGCCTTGTTACGGCTATTGGAGCTTGAATCTGCTCTGAAACCATCTGCCGGCTGCCATGGTATCTGCTTGGTGACACGGGGGTGTGGGCTTTCCTGCCTTAGATTGAGTGTTGGGGGGTCCTGCTAGGTGCGTCTTGTCTCGCTGGGACCCCGCCTAGGTGGTGCAGACGGTCTGTGTGCCTGGAGGGCCTGGGGCCTGAGCCCCCTAGAGCCCTTGGAGGTCAGCCTCCCTTGAGCCCGGGGGTGGGGGTGGGGTACAGCTCTGGCCCAGACAGGTGGCCCGCTGCCACCGCCGCCGCCGCCGCCGCCACCACAAGTCAGTGGGCTTCTCCGCAGCTGGTCCCTGTCACCCAGGTCACGAGCTGGGCTGGGAGTCACACAAGACCACCACTGCCCTCGTTAGCTCACTCACCCTGTGTGTCCAGCTCTTGCAAACCGCGTTCTTCTCCCTCTGGGTCTCAAACTGGACACCGGGCTGCTGGCGCAGGCCACGGCTCATGGCCCTGCCCCCGCTGGGTCCCCAGCCCCCTGGGAGGGTGTGGAGCATGGGCCACCCCTGCGGGGTGTGTGACTGCATTGGCCACGGGCCAGATTCTGGAGCACTCGGGCAGGGCTCTAACAGCCTCTCCAACCTCAGAGTGGGGAGAAGACACTCCTGGACCTAGGGGCGCCCATCTCCAGCCTGGACGGGCAGCGGGTCATCCTGGAGGAGAAGGACCCCTCCAGGGTGAGAGGTGAGTGGGCCTTCCTCCCAGGGAACGCAGCGCCACCCCCACTCCCATCCCCCGACCTCCAGTGCACGTGGTAAAGGGCCCACACTGGGGCGCAGAGCGGCAGAGACAGGACTGTGGGGGGCAGCGGGGGCCAGTGACCGCCCACAAGGAGGGCTGGCCTTCAGCCCAGTGTTAATCCCGCGGGTGTCTATGGGGGACCCCTCAGACTCCATGAGGCTGTCTTTTCATGCGGTGGTCCTGCAGAGCCACCCACTCAAGTGCTCTGAGGAGCTGGTGTGCCCACATGTGAGAGTGCCGTCACCACACGCGGCACGCATGTGTGTTCACCACACGTGTGAGGGCGGGCTGTTCACCACACTGATGGGGGGCTTCCCCGTGTGCGGGAGGAGGCTGTGATGGTGTCCTGGGGACCGTGGCCTGGCCTGTGCGGGAGCCCCTCGTGAGCCATGAACCTGGCACCTCCCCACGCACGCCATCACCTCAGTCAGACAGCTGTGAGGGGCGGGGCCTGGGATCCTGGTCCTTCACAGCCGCCTGCCCGTGACAGGACAGGCACGTAGACAAACACACGCAGGGCGACACCCCCTGCAGGGCAGACACGCAGGACGGTACCACGTGCTGAGGTGGGGCTTCTGTGAGTGCCCACTGCTGAGGACAGGCAGAGGGTTGACCTGGAGGGCCATGGAGCGCATCCCCTAAGAGAGCTTTCTGGAAAGCCCCCCAAATCCTGTCAGGAACCCCTGTGGCCCGGCCCACCCTCACCCCTCTCTACCCCCTTACATGGCGAGGGTGTGGATGGTGTTCAGGGCCCCTTTGGGTGAGCGGACGGGCAGGTGTGAGCACCACACTGAGCCACAGGTCAGGCTGCGGGAGAGGGTGCTGCTCTGGCCTCCCTGGTGCCAAGGGGGGGGTGGACACCTGGCTGCGGACACCTGTGAGCTTGTGGGGCATGGGCACCGCCTGCCCACTCCTCAGAGAGCCTTCCGCTCCTACATGACCTGAAGGCCATTCGCAGCCCATCTGCCCTCGGCTGCCAGACACCTGCCCCCCTGCCGGAGGTGGGCAGAGGCCTCCTGCACAGGCAGCCAGCGCAGCCCTGCGGCCATGGTTACCGTGGCCGTGGGCCAGAGATGCTCAGAGAGGTGACAGTTGCGTCTCATGGTGGCCAAGGGTCGGGGGCCCTCTGAGGGGACATTGAGGTGACACTGGTGTCCTGTCCACACGCACAGATAAGCTGAAAGGTGCATCGGGCAAACTCAGCCTTGCAGTCAACTCTGGCGCCCGGAACCATGCGGCTACGGTAATGCCCCTCCCCGCGGCCCTGGGCCTCCTACGCGGCGCGTCCCCCACCCGCTCCACGGTCCACTCACGTGCAGGCTGCCATCTCGCCTTGCGTCCGTCCCTCCTCCTCCTTCCCGACCTTCGCCAGTGGGTCCCCGGCTGCCCGCCCCTGCTGCCCGCCCCCCATCAACAGCATGCCGGCGCGGGCGTGGAACTGTGCTTTCCTTCCGACGCAGGGAGAGAGGACGCTAGGCAAGTCTAACTCTATTAAGATCCGAGGCGAGACCGGACACAATGCTAGGGAACCCCGGCTTTCAAAGAGAGAAGAATCTATTGCAAAGATTGGGAAAAAAAAATATCAGAAAATTAATTTGGACGAAGCAGAGGGTACGTGGACTTCGTCACACTTGTCCGTTGGTTGTCCAGTCGCCGTGACATCAGTGTCCCAGTGTAGACGGTGTGCTGCCGGCCCTGCACCTGTGCTTGGGCTGTGGGTGCCACTCCCCAAGCCCTCTCCCCGACACCCACACCCACTGTTAGCCCCCTGCTGCCACCCTGTCTTGGGAGGCTTCTGTCGGCCACTCAGCTCCCTCTTTTTGGGTTGGCCCACTCAGGTCAGGGCCCAGAGGGCGGAGCCAGGCATTGTCCAGGCGACAGGCTTCTCCGGGACAAGTGGGCCACCCTGGTGAGCCAGTGCTAGTTCCCCCGCTGGGCCTGCTGGCCACTGAGTATTCACTGGAGGCCTGAGGATGGCCACATGGTCACCGGGGCCCACGTGTCCCTCAGCCCCCGTGAGCAGATGGGGGTGGTGGTCCTGCTTTCAGACTTGTTTCTGACCCGACATTCGCAGTGAAGGGCGGAGTCGAAGCCTGCGGCGGTGGCTGCACCTTGGGTCTCAGCTGGGGCAGCTGGGCAGCAGGCCAGGCCAGGCCGCAGGGAGGCCGGAGTCCCCAGAGCAGGGCACCCACACCCTTCCCCTCGGGGCCCAAGCACCCGTGAAAAGGCCAGCTCGGTTAGAGAAAGAAGAAGGTGGCACAGATGCTGCGGGCGGGTGGGTGGGCTCCCAGACACCTGGGGTCTTGCCACCAGGACGGAGGGCTGTGTGGACGGAGAGGGAGGGGGAGGCGGAGGCAGGGCCAGTGCTCAGTCAGGCACTGTCCCCTTGGTTGAGAGGTGGGGGCCTCGAGTGGCAGGGGCCCGGGGTGGGGTGTAGCCCAGACACACACGCTCAGGGGGACCCCTGCACACCCTGTGTCTTCATGGCCTCGGGTGTCAGGTTCCCTCCTGAGAGACCCAGCTGCCACCCGTCCCCCAGGGCAAAGGCATGTGCAGGGCCTGGGCTGGGTGCCGGGTGCCTGTGTACCCGCTCACCGGGCACCGGCTCTCCTCACACAGAGTTTTTTGAGCTCATTTCTAAAGCCCAGAGCAACCGGGCTGAGGACCAGCGCGGGCTGCTGAGGAAGGAGGACCTGGTGCTGCCCGACTTCCTGCGCCTGCCCCCCGGACCCCCCGGACCCCCGGGCAGCCTCAGCAAGAGACTGGGGAAGAGCCACAGCCAAGACAGCACCGTGCCACCCGGCACCCACTGGGACGCCCAGAACCACATACGCAGCCCTGCCACCAGCCCCAGCTCAGCCGGCAGCCAGCCCCGCTCCCCCACCACCACGCCCCCTGGGCCCCTGCCCAGCCCCCCCGGCGCCCCCATCCAGGAAGGGGCGGCCGGGGTGTGGAGGCGACAGTCCCATGATGGAGAGGGAGTGTCAGCGCCGCTGCAGGAGGACCCGGGGGCCGACCTGACGCTGGTCGGGGAGGGGGACATCCGCAGTCCCAACTGCACCCTGCTGCCACTGCCTGGTGCCCACCCCGAGTGCCCGGGCCCGCTGCCGGACTCGCAGGATGCACCAGGGCCTCAGAGACCAGGTACCTCCTGAGTGTGACGGCCACTTGCCGCCCAGCACGTGCCGTCTGCCTGGTCAGTGCCCAGTGAGCAGGCAG